AATTCTCCAGAACCCGCTGAGGGAGAAGAGAGTTTTCAGCTGATTCACCTGTGCTACCACCGCAGTATTCTGTTACCACAGCTTTGCTAATTGCTGGGTTTTTTGCATTTAACTACCCAGAAGGTATTTGCACCAGGCAATGCTGCTACAAATAAAGCCTCACTGAAAGTTTACACAGGTCACTTTTGCAGAGAAGTACATGATCATTGCACCAAGCCTGCTCTCCATGCTCAGTTTGATACCTGGAAAGCCAGGAGAAAGCAATTGTCTCTTGGTTCTGCCGCCACTGCTTACACCCAGCAGCAAAGGACAACAATATTGATACAGTTTTGTAACATCACACCCATGCTGCAAGGAGTCAGGTTGCTAGGGGAGAGATTTCTATGAGCAGAGAGCCGTTTTCTGTCTGTGCAATAGATCAGTAGTTAGAAACCTGATTTGTTTTAGCTACAAATGGCCAGATTTTTTGAGGGGCCAAGTTGTGATTTTCAAGCATCTTCACCTGCCTATCCTGGGCTTTTAATTAGCTATATACAGATATAAACTGGGCCTGATTTTACATGTCCCCATTGGAAAACTGGGCTCAGAGCTGTCAAGAGGTCTGGCACCAGTAAGTGGCAATTGTTGGTCCAACAAGCTTGAAGGAGTCAGCAATTAGCTGAATAATATTCAGGATAGAACTTGGTAGCACAGAAGTATGGCAGAAACAGGGTTCAAGGTGACAGCATTCAATCTGAATGCAGCTCGGCTTGGTTCTTTTTAGCTGGACCATGTCAGAACCCAGTAGTTGAGCGCCCGTCACAGTGGAATGTTTCATTGATTTGATACCTGTAACACAGTGGAATTTCTCGCCACAGTGGAATTTTCCGCTACAGTAGAAAGCCCCGGTGCAGTAAAAGTTCCCGCCAACTTTATGCAAATACGCGCACCACCATTGGCCGGTTATAATTATTCATATTTGGTGACTAGCGATTGGCTTGTTAGTCATATAAAAGTTAAAGCAGTTTCCGCCCAAGTCGGAGAACTCCGCGCACATCTAGGAGTGAACTTGGCGGACTGATCACCCACCAACGACTCCCTGTCGCCGACCGTCCCAACGTACCCCCGTGCCCTGCCGGCCCGATAAGCCGTTCATGTCATTTTGTCTGACTCGGAGAGCTCACGTTTGCAACTGTAACCTAAGTCAGTTCTTCTTCCTGCGCTGTGTACACCGACGGCGTAAGTAAATAATCTCTTTGTTCAACCAATACGCTTCAGTGCCTAATTCCGCTCCATCGGTCAAAAGTACCCCCCTGCCGTTTCGGGGCTACTGGCCACAGCCCGGCCTACCACTCGACTGCCACAGAAGGCCACAGCAGAGAGTGGAGTAGGCTTGTCCAACATATGGCCCGTGGGCTGCAACGCAGCCCGCCAAGGCATTTGCTGTGGGAAACGAAAGTAAACACGATTTACTTTCGTTCCCACCCCTTGTCCCTCCCCCAGCCCCTCAGCAGCTTCCTAATGGCTGTTTAAGGGCTGGGAAAGGGACAAGGTTCCCGCACGCACCACATTAGCTTGACGTTGCCGACATGGTACATGTGGGAAGAGGAGTGCAGACCCACCCCGCCTCCTCCCGTCCCCAGCACCACATGGGGAAGCCACTGCTTCCCGGCCCAAGTGACTCGCTGCTCCCTGCCCGCAGGAGAAAGGCAGCCCGGTTTGGCCGCCCAGCCCTGGGTCGCTGGCAGAGGCGGAGCGGCGCGGGCAGGTGCCTCCTCCCGCCAGGCTGTCAGCATTGGCCACGCCGTGCGGGGCGGTCCTGGGCTCGGGCGGAGCCTGCGCTCACTGTGCCCCGAGGTGCCGCCCAGCCCTGGCTCTGGCTCCCTCCAGCCCGGTGGAGTGCGGCGATGCAGACCTGTGGAGGCAGCGCGGCAGCCGGGCTCACCCTCGTTGTCTGCCTCTGTCGCCTCCCGCCCGGCCGGGGCGCTGCAGGTAGGGCCAGGCCAGGGCAGGAAGATGGTGCCTCCCCCAGGGCTGGGCCGGTGACTGTGGGCTCCCGGCACCTGTGTGTCGGGGGGGGGGGGTCCCTGCCTTTCACAGGGGAGGGAGGCTTGGCTCTGACCCTCATCTCCTGGGGCCAAGGCTTTAACCTCAAAGACTGGTCTTCCCTCCTGGGAGCCGGCTGTGCCCACGTCCCAGAAGCCGGGTGCTGGAGCATTACAAAGGCAGGCAAAAACCTCCACAGTCTGCTCTAATCTGACCATGAGGTAAAATTCCTTCCTGGCCCCAAATTTGGTGGTCAGTGGGACCCCGAGCAGAGGGGCAAGACCAGGGCTCAGCAGCGTTTTTTGGGCAGTGCCAAAAACACCCACAGTCTTGACTTGTAAAATGTTAGCGTGCCAGTGGCAGACAGCGGGGGAGCCACGATGGGCTCTATCCTTGTTGTGGCAGCACAGCCCTGGCCCTTCCCCTGAAGTCTGCCTCAAGGCACACATGCCAAGCAAAATGCCTGTGTGTGCTATGCTCTGGCACCCAAGGAAGGGGTTGCCTACCTCTGGACGTAACCCTCTAGCCAAAAACCTCTGGATTTGGTCCCAGAAGGACCATTGGCACACCCCAGTCAAAGTCCCTAGCCTTGGCTGTAGCCAACACCCAATACCTCTGAGGAAAACTTAAAAACACCCTGGCACATATAGCAGAAAGGGGAAGAGTGGTGGTGGGGGCAACCAGCAAAGCCCAGAAGCATGAGAAGTATTCATAGTAGAACATGGGCATAGCTATGCCTAGATCATTTTCACTTCCTACAACTTCATTGGTGGCAAAGGTCATGTGACATCACTTCCTGATGTGATACCACTTCCTGTGAGGTCTTTGAATATGGCTCACTGGCCCACTGGGTGATAAAAAGTTTGTGATCCAGCCCCACATTCAAAAAGGTTGGACACCCCTGGAATAGAGGAAACTCTCAGGACTGATTCAAAACCATTCCTTCGCCACTGATGGGAAAATAGCATCTGCACTGCTCTTCCACCGCAGCCATGCTTGTCAATAAAAGTGCTGAATAAAATCTATCTAACTCATTTGTAAACCTGGCCATTAACAAACCATTCCTCTGCTATTTTTTTGCATTTTACCCAGAAGTTATAAATCCCCTCAGTGGCTCTATGCCTTGGCCCATTTTCCTTGCATTGTTTATTGGTCCAATGTAAACTTGTTTAGAGAGAACTTTTGCCTACCTAAAACATAACAAGCAGGTAGGCTGTAGGATAGAAGCCAAAGTTCATGCCTTCAAAAAATCAGATGTCCACTGAATAGTTAATAGCTTCATAGCATTGCTGACTATAAAGCACGCCTTGTACCATTTCTTTAGCTACTTTTCCACCAAGGGCCATAGACTTTATGTATACGACTGCAGTGCCAACACACAGAACAGCTGCCAAGAAAACCAGACTGTAGACAAGGGTTTGGTATCGAGCCAGAAAGCCGAGCGAAGATGCCAATGGTATATCTGGTATTTCTGGAGGCATCCTGGCTCGGTTCATTTCTAGGGATGTTGTGCTGATAAAGACTGAAGTGTCTGCTGGTGAAATGGATTCAGGAATGGACCGAGAAGAATCTTCCTTTTCTACAGGATATGAATGGTTAGAGGTGTTAGCCTCACCCCTGGAAGCAGAGTCACTACCAACCTGTCTTACATTACCTCTGTTCTTACTGAATGAACTAGTTTCTCCTTCAACAGAGGAGGAGTGTGTAGTGAGTCCTGTGACAGCAACACTTTCTTTCACACCATCTGCAAGTGTCAGAGTGTAGCTCTCCATCACTCTTCCCATCAATGTAAACTCTTCAGCAGGCTTGCTGGGAACAGATTTTAGTAGGGCAAGTGTTGTCTGGAACATGGTACTCCCAGAACTGCTTTCAATGGACGGGGCATCTGAAGTAAATCTTCTAGGAATAGCATCTGATTTGTCAGCTACTGGACTTACTGTAGCTCCTGTGGATTTACCTGTTGATACTGTGAACCTGTCAAACCCTTTCATGATCCACGTAGGATCAGAATTAAATATATTGGGAACAGTGCCTGGCACATCAGATATTGCACTTGCAGGAGATCCTGTGGATTCTTCTGTAGATCCTATATTGCTCTGAGATCTTGTCATGACCAGGGTAGAATGTAAAATAAATCTGTAAGGGTCAATGGTTGGCGCATCAGCTTTTCTACTTATAGAAGGTTCTGTGGATCCTGTAAAACTCTCAGGCCTTCTCACAGCATATGGAGTCAGTCCACTGAGGCTGGTGTCTGGTGCATATGTTGGATGTGAAACAAGTCTCATGGAAACCTTGTTGCCATATGTAGCAGGCTCAGAGTAGGTAGCAGTGTTAGTATCTGGAAACAAAGAGGAAGTTTTTGTAAAGAGCCCCATAGCTTCTTGTGCAAGCAATATGGGAAAATTTGTACCCTCTGCCCTTACAGCAGAAACATTTACTGCCTCTGAAAGTGTTACGCCAGCTGTGTGACTAGGAGAATCCATGGGCCTGGTGACACAGCCTGGGCCACTGGTTTGTGTTGCAGAGGACATGACACCTCCAATAACTCTCTGAAATATGCCTGCCTTTTCTTGTGCTGATACAAAACTGATGGGATTTGAAGATGAAAGGGTTGGAGGGGCATTCTTTTGGTCAAGTTCCCTGACTCTCTCCTTCACCCAGCTGTCCTCTGGATTTGCACAAATCTCCCTGGACTTTTTAGTAACAAATCTGAAACAAGAAAGGAAACAGCAATAATCAGCAGAAACAGAAAAATCACATAATTTGATTAAGAGCAAAGAGTAACTGGATCAAAAGTCAGTTGTTCGTGAGCTCATTTTACATCAGAGGAAAATGGTGAGATCATGTTCCCAAATTATTATAAATCCAGTTGTTGTTGTTCTGAAATCACGCCAGGTTTTTACATTACAAAAGACAAAGTAAACAAAATAGAAGGAAGTAACATAAGCGATCTAATCACTGGAAGTCCAGAATGAATCAGTTTCCTTAAGGTAGACTTTCTCTTTTGCATTCACTGTCAAATAATTGCTTTGAAATGGGTCAGTAAAACTAATTATCCCACTGGGATGCTGTGATTAAGACAGCGTAGCTGACTCCATGCTCACACACAGCACTTGTCTTCATGCCAAAAAAGGTGTGTGCTTTGAGTTACCTCACGAGTTGAGTTTGACCCAGGTGAAATAACTGCTAAAAATATGTAAATTATCCCCTTGGCTTTTTCTCCAGGGCTGAAATTCTGCTTACAGGCTTATAAACAAGTTTATAAATTAAAATTACATAATATCTCATAATTCTCAATGCTTTTTAAATATTTATTTCTGTGGTCTTGTGAGCTTTCTGGATGATGATGGGCTTTCAAACACCAGTCTACTGCTGAATGCATCTGGTATAAGTGACTGGCTCTGCTACATATTTCCTGTGTGACTCCAGGAAAGATGCTTCATCTCTCTGTGTTTCAATCTCCGCTCAGTACAACAGCCCTTACAGTTTCTCTTTGTTCCACCCCTTTACCTATCTTATCAGTTTTTCAGGACAGTGACTGCTTCAAAGTGCTCCACCTTCTACCAGCCAGAAGGCCCAGATCTCATATTAAATAAGAATTCCCCAAATAAAATAAATAGCTTTTGCTGCAATTTTCTGCATGCTCTTAACTCTGATACAAGAGCTTCTGCAGTGTTTGGGCCCTTTGATTCTCAGAATTACAGATTATTTAATTCTGAAGTTCATGATAAAAGAAGGAAAATGGTACAGTACTTACATGATAACAGACTTGGGGCAGGATGGGTCTGTTTTCTTGTAGCTCTTCAACAGCCCCAAGGGTAATTCTTTTGTAAAACCCTTACACATTGTTGCACATCCAATCGGTGCTCTTGGTTGCCCTAAGGCAAAAAGTGCACCATATGTATCAAGTCATGTTGCAGTATCATGACAGCTATAGCTCAACCTCTTTCCCCTGTTTAGTGAAAGTATGTTATAAAGTTTTGCAGTTGGAAAACAAAGAGCATTTCCATAGTGCAAACCACCCTTATCACAAACATTCTAGTCACACCTACGAAGATCATAAAAGGAATATTTTCTGATGGCTGGAAAGCCCCTAGAAAAAAAGAATGTCAAAATAAGCCCTCTTAGGATATCAGTGACTAAAAGCTCTTACCATGGGACCTAAATGGATCAGGACTTCACTATTGGATCATGATTCATCAGTACTCATCTGAATGCCATCCCCCTTGATTAGGTGTTTGTGAAAGATCTCAGTTCTTTTCCTAAGGACATACGTGCTCTGTCACATATGAGGCTGCTAAAGCTGTCACTAATTACAGTGCTCTTCTTGGCAGGCTCAGGCTATGGACAAACAAAGTTCAGTCAGTTAAAAAGGAGCTTAGCATGGGGTAGTGATATGTGATAACTGTCTGGCTGTCCACTTTTACCCAGTGGTAAGTGAAAGCTAAACAGAAGAAGCTTTCCCTAGCATGAAACAAAACAACATCATCCTTTTTCATGTTCACTTACCAGGGGCTAAGAGACAGTAGATGCACAGGTACCACAGAACTGAAGCTCCATGGAAAGTCCTTACTGTCTGTTACCTTGCCCTAGTTCCTTTGTCTAGATGTTCAGGAGGCAGACCAAGAAGGTCACCCCACTCAGTAGAGCAGAGTTGAGGCAAATTGCCAGGAGGGCAGGGAGAAGTTTTCCTGACATATAGCTACTCTGCAGTGGAGCTTTCTGTATTGCAATTGCTGCTGCAATGAGTCAGTATTTAGGCTGGTCTGAGCTGGCTGTCAACCAACTAGCTCAGGTAGTGCTACAGTGTAGCCCTAGCAGCAGCCAGCTTACTGCAGACTTGCCCCCATGTATTTACCCAGCTTCCTCTCCAGTGGTGCCTATACAAATAAACCCTGTCCTCCCATGCATCACCATCCTCTGTGAGTGTCCCTTGGATTCTGAAGAAAGGTTCAAAGAAAGTATCATTAGGGATTATATGGTATTTTTAGAGTTATAGTTTATGCTTAGATATTAAGGGTCCCTAGGCAGAGGCTAATATATGAGTCCTTCCTTCCTCTTTCCTCCTTCCACACACATGGGGTAACATGAACTGCAAGTGTAACCTAAATGTACCCTACTGTGGCCTCTCCCCGCCCCATGGTTTTGATCCCCTCCTCCTTATGAGCACATGTTGCACAGTCACCATCATATTTGCTCCTTGTCTGTGTTGGAGTCTACATTTCATTTGGGAAACCAGGTCCTGGCTGTTTAACATAGCACAGCAGACCGGGTGCAGCTCTGTACAGCAAAGCTTGGCTCTCTGCTGAATCAACATCTACAAATTTGGCAGCTGAGATTTCCACAGGAGTCAGTGGTGCCAGCAGATGGGAGCAGGCAGCCAGCATATCCTCTGATGTTAACTAGCAGAGCTCAAAGATGAGTCAATACAGAGACAACAGCTTACATTGGCTGAGGATCTGGCCCATCCTGACTTGATCTGTAAATCGAACAAATCTGCTCTGATGCTAACTGGGGGGATATGATCATCCAACCCTGCAAAGGCACTTGTCTGAATCACTTTTCAGTCTGCAACTGCTCTGTATCAGTTCAAACAACCTCCCTTGTTTTTCATGGTTCTTTTAGAGACAAATCGTTGCTTCCCTGCCTATGTGCTCACCTTCATTGCTTCCCTGCCTGTATGCTCACTTTTTCCTATCTTCTCTGTTGGAGCTCAGTTAAAGAATTTTAGAGGACTCCATTTACCCAGGCACAGCCTGCATTTTAATCAGTTAGAGGAAGAGCCTGTGCTAGGGTTCCCAGGGGTCCATGTATGTGTTCCAAGTGACTAAGCATGAGCTGTGTCCCTGTGTTTGTTTGTAGGTTATAGAGTGATATGTGACCGGCACTCTCCTGCCACTAGCTCATAGCTGGGGGGTCGTTGCGGCTTGTGCTGATTCCTCGATAATACTCACTTTCACTCACACTCAAGCAGATTCTGCCTTAGGCTTTCAGGAAGCAGAGTCCAGACCAGGGAGCAAGTTGGCTGGTTAATATCTCCAGGGACCTCAACTCCCATCCTAAATGAGAGCAGCTCCTGGAGTCTTCAGTTCTTCCTCAAATCAGATCTCCCATAGTTGTAAGTATTATAAGCCCATCCCCTATTATCACATGGCCTGACCTCATCTCTACTTAAGACAAAGTCGGCAGGTTCAGACTGTGGTTCTTGGTCCAGGCACTCTGTGCTACTCTGGTGTAAAAGGGCTATAGAGCTGGAGTGCCCCCTAGAGAGGACTGTGCTGTGATTGTGGGGACCACTCCTGAACTGCCTCCACACCGGGGACTGCACATAGGTAATAAAGGACTCTATGAATCAGCTCTGCATCCGCACAGTTCTCTCCAGGGCCACTCCAACTCATATGGCCCTTTTACACCAGAGCAACATAAAGGGCCTGGAGCAACCATTGCTCCATCTGAGTCACATCTGTTGTTTTTAGCTTAAACAGAGGCAAGCCTGATGCTCCCTTATAGAGGACTCCATTTACCCAGAGACAGCCTGCATTTTAATCAGTTAATCAGCCTCTTCTGAGGTTCCCAAGGATTCATATACATGTTACAAGTAACTAAGCATGAGCTATGAGTCCAATATCCAACATCAAGGACAGATTTTCCCATCTTGATGAAAAGTTCCTTAAACAAGAATCACAGTTTGGAAGTCAGTGACTGCCGCTCCAGTGCAGTAAGAGGAGCCAGAATCAGACCTAAAGAAAATTCAGCAGTGCATGTAAATGCAGAGAGCGCAGCACACAGGCCAGCAGGTAGCAGGGTGGGTAAGCTGTTCTAACTGGAACATAGATGTAAGGGGTTGAGCTGATTGCTCTCCACAGAGCTTGGCTGTTTAACTCATGGAGCTCTGTCTGACACCAGCCTCCAGATCACCCATTCCCCTGAGTTTGTTTGTAGGTTATAGAGTGATCTGTGACCCACACTCCCCTGCCATTAGTTCATACTTTTGGGGGGTTGTTGAGGCTTATGCAGATTCCTAGGTCATGCTCACTTTCACTCACACTCAGATTCTGCCTTAGGCTTTCAGGAACCAGAGTCCAGATCAGGGGTCAGGTTGGCTGGTTAATATCTCTTTAGGCTACTTTGTGCCGTCTTAATGCCTCCTGCTCCAGGGACCTCAGCCTCCATCCTAAATAAGAGCAGCTCCTGGAGATCTCAGCTCTTTCTCAAGCCAGATCTCCCATATAAGCCCATCCCCTACTAATTCTTTTTAGGGCATCTCATGGCCTGACCTCATCTCTACTTAGGACAAGACAGCAGGTCAGACTCTGGCCATGCTGGGGACTGCACACAGATGAGATGTGGATTCGGAAACTAATAAACTCTGCAGCAGGGTAGGACTTGTAAATACAAAGATGCTGCCCAGCTAATAAACTCCACAGAAGGGTAGGACTTGTATTTATAGCTCCTACCCTGCTGTCGAATTTATTAGCTGCCTGCACCTTAATAGGGGTGCACCTGTAAACACTGAGATGTTTACTGTGCAGTTAATTAGTCAACTGTGCAGTAAACATCTCCTGTAGTTGCAGGTGTAGAACTGGAGAGATCTGCCCTTCCCTTTTCATATTGCTACCTGGAGTAGCATCCTGGTTCAATGGGAGGATAACCTTCCTATGGGTGAGAACATGACTAAGAATCACTGGTTCACGCATACCGCTTGCTGC